TGGCATACAGAGCGCCCGACAGCACACAGGGCCTTTGTGATGACACTGAAAACGGGAGTTCCCTGTGTTTTGACGAGCAAGGGATTAAGAAAGCACTTTCTACCCCTTAACTCGTTACAGACTTCACAACCAGAAACCCACCCACCCGCTCGATTCCCAGCTGCCTTTTCAAAACCCACGGCGGCTTTGAAAGGGGCCTCCGCTCTTGCACGCTCCTTTGCTCGCAGCCACGGCTCAGGCTGAGTGGTGCAGCCCTGCTATACGCGGACCCCCTTGTGTTCATAAGCCTCGTCGTGTTCACACGCATAATCTCTTAATGCCTTTTGAACCGACAGAGGGCTCATAACGTGGCGGGATTTTTTCGTGAGTGTACGAGCGCACAGTGGAGGCACTTTTAATTAAAAAAACGAAACAGAGGAGGAGGCCACTTGCTGAGATGGGGCTGGGAACTCTGTCAGCGATCATGACCTTAACTTCCCTCGCCACGCAAAGACATCCCAGGCTCTGGTCTCTTTTTCATTTCCAAAAATGTATGTAAAAGTAAAAAAAACAAACACTAAATGTATTAATTTACTCGGATGACATTCAATACACTCACGCTGCATTTTAGGTCTTATTTTACTCTGCAAATTATCAATATGCTAGAAACGTTTAAGGGAACTGGGAATAAATGAAAGAAAGAAAAAACACTTCACAGTTCCATAATGTAATGCCGGAGATGAAATATGACATCCATGTGATATTTTTAAAACTCTATTGTTCCTTAAAATAGATTCAAATTATTTCCACACGATGTTGCCCACACCAACCAACCTGCAGGGTGCAGAATAGTTTTATTTCCATATATGAATAAAGCCCATTTTAACCTTCAACATTCTAAAATCACGTTATAAGTGTGCTTTCTTCCTTTGCGTGCCCTACCCTCCACCAACATTGTTCAGTGTTCCCCGTGTATCAGTTACAGTTGGCTGCCTCCACAACCCGGCCTCCTGTCCTCACCTCAAAACAGAACAAACCTTGCAGAGCTAAGGACAGCACCCACCGTTGGCCCACACATCACGGGCAAAGGGGCGGCACTGCAACAACGGCTTCCTCACGCCACTGCTGGCGGAAAGGCCTCCACAGGAGCAAAGTCAATGCGGTATTTGGTCTACTCTTCCACGTTGAGCAGAAGTGGTGGAAGAGGTGGGCGAACCCACACATTACCTCACAAAAAGGAATCTGATGATCTACTGTGGTAATTTAATAAAAATGGCAACCTTTGGATTGCAAGTACAGTGCGCTAACCATGACACCACCGCAGCTCCCATATTACAGCACTTGGCTTTATATATCTTGGGCTTATCTTCTGATGAACCCATCTTGGGATGGGCTCTCTCTAGCTGAAAAAATTCCTGTTTCGTACCACGTTAGGCTCTGCTTTCTCATGACTTCCCAACAGTTGAGTATGATGCGCCCATGAGAAAATACACGTGGGACAGTTTTTTTGTAGCTAGTCACGTACGAATGTGCTTAGACTCTTTTCAACCTGTGGACGAGGACCCTTCCAGACCAATGAGGCAGGGTTGTTGATGTTGCGTAGAGCCCTTGATGTCAGAGACAGACACTCAGGAGTTCGACAGGGGAATTTGGGCCTCAGTCCAGCCACCTGTGCCGTCTCAGAAATGTACCATTTTGACTCTATGAACTTATTGCAAAAACTGTTTGTACATGAATAGCCAAAGCTAAGCATGCTTCTCATCCGTAACACAATCTCTCTATAAAATTTACCATACACGCAAATATATAAAATATAACGTGTTACACAGGAGCCATTGATAACTATATATACAATATAACGTGTTACACAGGAGTCATTGATAACTATATATACAATATAACGTGTTACACGGAGCCATTGATAACTATACATACAATATAACGTGTTACACAGGAGCCATTGATAACTATATTACCTTGATTGCGGGATGACCACGGACTAACGTTTGTTGCCGCTGAAAATCCTTTCCAACATACTTTGTTACTTTTTTGCTATAGTATTTCAAATTTGAACTAAGTGCTTTAACAATCTTTAATGTGTTCTGATGGAAATACTGCACACTGATAATACGCTTAAGAGCCAGAGTAAAGATTTATTCAAGGTTATTTATGCGAAACATCAATATAAATGTAATATAAGTGTGTATTGTTTTGCCCATGAAAACAGAAGGAATTGGCATTACTGTCAAAGCCAAGTGGCTGAGAATAAGACGGGGCCAGTTTCCATTGCGAAAGTCCCACATTGTTTCCACTTCGTGCTGCCGATCTGTCTATTCCTGAAGCCTGACCCATGCTTTTGTGTGACTCAGGGCTCTAAGTGGCGATAAGTGTTCGCCCACTCAATGCATCAGAATTGAACATGCAATTTTCACTACAGTATCGACATCGATCAAATTTTATCGTGTAAAAGTAAACGAAATGCATTCCATATAATTCAGATGCGTGGCTGCTGATGCAACACATACTATCTGGATATATTAACCACGATTTTATTGTTAACGCAAGCAAAGACATGTCTACCGATTGCCTGTGTTTTGCGCAATACACTTTTAGAAAAAATATATACACGACCCAATACAATGACACACATCAACAGAACATCGACAGACATGATGCTTACGAGTATGTGACTCCGAAACCCTCACAGTAGGTGGAAAACACGAATGACGACGTTGAAATAGCTAGAACGTTGTCACCAGTGTATCCATTGTACAAAGACCCAGACACTCACGTTGCCACACACCGCAGCCCTGCGTTGAACTTATTATATAGGGGTGTACAGGCGGCCGTGTGAGCTCTGTTCACGCAAGGCATGCAGAAAACATGTTCAATGGCTGCTCGCTGAGCGCAATGGAGACCACGCGCATCCCTTCTCAATGCAGGTTTCGCTCAAGCATATTCATCACACGCTGCACTCGGCTTCAACCCCAGAGGCACGATCTGTAGGAGAGCACAAGATCGGCACACGACGGGGTCGTGGTGTTAAGCGACACACAGGCCGTACGAGGATATCCGTGTGAAGGCAGGTAGAGAACCCTGCTCAATCATTGATGGGGCGCTCCCAAGCCAGGGATCGAACCGGGAGGGATCTTAGCACAGCTCACGAACACTCGGCCACTCACCGAGTTACTCACGTCGCAGCTCTCACTCTAAATGACTAACTCTGTCCAACTATCCACCTCGGTCACTCCCTCCCTCTCTCTGTTACTCACCCACCCAGCCACCCGCGCGCGCCGTGTCCCCCGCGCGTGACGTCACGCGGAGGAGCGCTTTTCTGCGCGGAGCTAAGCGCCGCGCACTCAGTCTGCGGCGCCGCGCTCCCCAATCCACGCTCTCTCCTCCGCGCTCTCTCGCTCTCACCTGTCGCATCATCTCTCCAACACACGTCTCTCGGCTCCTTCGTCTCTTCTCGCCACTCGCTGCTGTGTTGCATCGTGCGCCGCGGACCGAGTCGCTCAAATTTATTGGCGGATTCAATTTCCCTCTGAATGTGAATTGCGTAGAAACGCACAGGCGCACTCCGGGAGCATCGCGACTGAATTCCTTTAGAGTTTTATTTTGGTCGTTCGTTGGTGTTACTTTGGTGAGGGTTTTTTTTCGGTTCACTACATCTCAACTCCGGTGTGATGAGAATTGTATTCATTGTGCACATCAGCAGCATCATCAACTGCGCCTCGGTGTTGGAGTCTGCGAATGAGACAGGTAACGCGTGTGATTTGCCCGGGGTGCTATCCACTCAACGTCACTCACCCTGGGCTTTCTCACCCATGGCTCACTCACTTACGGCTCGCTCACTAACTCAGGGTTCACTCACTCATCCAAGGCTCACTCACCACGGAATCACTCACTCATCATGGACTTACCCAGAGGTCATTCACCCAGAACTCACCACGGAGATCACTGGCTCACTCACCCAGGGCTTACTCACCACGTGCTCATGCACTCACCCAGGTCTCACCAACCACGGGATCACTCACCAAGGGCTAACGGCCCCACCAAAGCTCACTCATCCAGGGTTTACTCACCCAGGGCTTACTCACCACGGGCTCATTCACACACGCAGAGCTCAATTACCCAGAACTTCACCGAGGGCTCACTCACCCACCCACTCACTCATCCACTCACTCATCCACTCACTCACCCACTCACTCACCCACTCACCCACCCACTCACCCACCCACCCACTCACCCAGGGCTCACAAAGGACTTACATATGGCTCGCCCACCCAAGCAGGGCTCACTCACCACTGCCCACTCATCACACGCGCAGGGCTAAATCGCTTATAACGGGCTTAGAGCTCATTCATCCAAACAGGACCCAGTCACCAAGGCTCAATCAGGGCTCACACTACCAGGATTCACTCACTCAAGACTGCCTCACGCAGGCAGGACACACATACACACAGAGACACCTCGAGGCATGCAGGTACACGACAAAAACGTTCCTGCATCGACCTTCGCGCGGCGCGCGGTGCGCTGACGGCGCTCGTAGACCCGAGGCCCTGCGAGTCGCCGCCCGGGTGAGTTGGGAGTCCGCGGGGACTCGGTGATGATGCCGCGCGTTGCGCTTATCTCTAGGGCCTCGGTGAAGAATTCGATCGGCGGGACGTGTCCACCGCTAACGAACCACAACTTAGCGGAGCCGGGAGAAATGCGCAGCCCCCAAACCGCACCACGCTCCGCGCGCCCGCTCTGAGCGCCGTCACCGAGGCAGCTGCGTCCCGCCGTACGCGCGACGACCCCAGAAGATGTGACGTGCCGACAGGCTCCATCCGAAGCCACGTCACGAGCTGGAACCCCATGCCAGCCTTGGGATGCGTGTGAGTCCCGTGCGCTCATCTTCAGCTCGTGACTCCGGCAAACCTATCACAGACGGCGGCAACAGCATCAGCAGCAGCCGGGGTTTGCCCGCGGCTCAAGGCTCCGCACGGCTCCAGCCAGAGTTGTCTCTTTCGCTCCGCCAGCGTGACCCGACGAGCGCTTGACTATGCGTGTGCGGCTGCTGCCCTTGGCGTTTATCCTTCTCAACGTCTGCCACTACATGCAGGGCCAGCGGTTGCCGGTCAGGGCGCGGAGACAGACGCGCAGTGAGTACCCAAGCCTGGGCGCCGTGTGTGCTGCGTCCGCGTGCGGCACGCTGTGGTGGTTGTTGTGGTTGTGTTGTGGTGCGTGTTGTGGTTGTGTTGTGGTGCGTGTGTGTGGTGTGGAGCATCTGGATGTGGTGAGCATGTGTGTGTGGCATGCTGTGTGTGTAACGTGTTTGTCTCCATATGTATGGGGTATGTGTGTAGTTGTGTTGTGGATGTGCGTGTGTGTAATATGTGTGGAGTGTCTGTGTGGTGCGCTCATGGTGGGAGAGTGTAGAAAGTTAGTATTTGTGCGGTGTATGTTGTTGTCTCGGGGATTAGGGAGCAGGAGTGTAGCGGATGTCGCGCTGCGCTAAGAATCCGCGTTCGATTTCCGCTCACGGTCAACACCAGTGACAATTATCTGAACCGGTCCTGGGCCTCCACTAAGTCGACTCAGCCTCAAATAGGTACCTGGTGCGGTGTGTAAACGTCGCCACTAGGGAGACAACGGTGGTCGGGCGTGGTTCTGGCTGCCGTTCCGACCTCTCTCACAGCACTTGCCCCAAACGTATGTTAAGGCTATAAGGTAGGGGGGGTGGTCTGTTTTTATCTTGTTGTGGATGTGTGTGGTGTGTGTGGTGTGTGTGCTCGGGTAGAACCACACACATGGACAGGCACACATATCCCACGGCACCGAATAGGCAACTCCAATTACAGCAAGAGCCATCGGTTCTAATATCCACGGAACAGGGCACTCTCGCTCTCATCATCAGCAGCAGCACAGGGTACAGAGATACACGAGCACGCAGCACATCGACACGAGGTATATATCTGAGATATTGAGTCCGACGGCGATAGGTAACCGATGGCAGACGGCGGAGTATTGAACTGAAACCGCCCTATAACTGAAGGCAGATGCAGAGCAAAGCTGGGGCGGTCTGCAGTGCGGTCAAGTGCTGAGTCGGGGTTAATAGAGGCAGGCGGTGATTGCGCAGTGAACCCAGAGCGGCGCTGCAGCAGCGGCGACTCTGGCCCCAAGTCCGACTCTGACATTGCGCTCGTGAAGAGGGATGCTGAACTTTGACGCGGGTTTGGTGCATCGCGCACAGATCGCCATTCGCGAGACACCTGGGTGGAAGGGCTACGAGGTGCCCCTTAGAAGGCAGTGCACCAAGTGGGTTCCTGACTGTTTCTTGCAAATACTTTTTGCTGTCCCCGAGTGCACGTGGGTGTTCTCTTGAGACTCCATTTGACAAAAAAAACTAATTTGCAATTGTGCCTATGTTCTGCAACAGGGCCCTGTTGAAAACGGGTCTTGAGCCTAAATCGAGGCTTCCATGTGCAAGGATGCATTTTCTTTTCGACGTGAAAATATTTCACGCCGAAAAAAAATCCGTTGAGATGGAGCACACAGTTCGCAACGGTCCCAGGTGCCAATTGCCCCAGAGCAGTCGCAGCCCGCTCCGATGACGGTGACGTCGAGCTGCTGGCATCGGAGCTCACCCTCTTCACTTCCCAGTGTTTCTGACCGCACATCGCGTCCTTTTCTGGCACCCACATGCGTCTCTCTCTCTCTTTCGCACCTGCTTCGCGTAATATTTAACAGAACACCGATGCGTGCACCCAGGACTGGAATGCGCTGCGCTCACACGAGACCCTCGCAAAGAAACTGCGAGCCAGCTAGGAGTTGTGTTCCACACAGCATTGGATTCGAGGGTAATCGTAGTCTACCAGCATCTCCTTTGGTGAATGTGACTTGACCATAGGTGAGGTTATCCGGCTAGGTGCCTCAGCAGTCGGGCTCGTGACTCACAAGCAGAAGGATGCGAGCCCAAAGTCTGAATGGGGCTTGACTCCTCCTCTGTCGATACAGTTAGTATCGCGTTGTAAGGAAGTCAACAGTGGTTGTCCAGAGGAATGTGGAATTTCCATCTCAGGTTTAGGGCTGTAAACAGGAGATTAACACCGCTTCAGTCTCAACATGAGCACGGAATACCTCTGACTGTTGACTAGAGGTGAGGTAGGTTTACAAACTTCGTGTTGTGTATCGAATTGATTATTTTTTTACCACTGTTTAAAACTTCATTCTAAAGTATGCTTACGTGCTTTTTTTTACTGATGCATTGTTAATAGTTAAAAGCTGTGGCTAGTAAGCTCTTAAAAAGTTCCACAGAATTACTCAGTGGATTGTCGGAAGCGGCATTCACAATGTGCATCTGGCAGTCAGGAAGGTAACGGTGCTTCCCTGCAATTTCCTGCCCACCTCACTGCTAGCAAACTCTAGAGCATATTTGGTCTACTCTTCTACCTTAACTAGACGTGTTAAAAGAGGTGTGCATACCCCGACTTAACCTCATCACACGCGTCCTACCAATAGATTTTGGTGCACAGTAATCATCACACTGCTGGGTTGACAAGAGGCAGGGGGGATTTAATAAACCTTCTCCATTGTTTAAACTGCCCCACCGGGAGACGCAATCGAACTGGTGATCTCTGGGCTCTAAGTGCAGTGTGCCAACCCTCGTACGATGACGGCTCCGTGCGGTCACACGGCAGTCCCGTAACTCATTAAGCGTGTTGCCTTAGCGGCACGGCTGTGCTCCCTCTGGCCGATCACCGGTGCCGGCATTCCGTGAGCGCAGCTACGCTAACCCACGAGCACCAGAGGCTCACCATGGCACACGTGGCCCCATGTGCGAAGGAGGCACTCAGAGTAACTCGCCAATGTGTTTCTTATGTTTAAACTCCTAGAGCCATAAAAGAAGACGTTACGTGGCCCAGAGCTCTTTTAGCAATATATTACAGTAGGTCCATACCAAGACACCCATTAAACATTGAACTAATTGATTTCTTAGCAGCGGATGCTCACTGCTAACAACCACAGCATTGTCAGATGTTATGAGAACACATTTGTGTTCATGTTCCCCACCTACAACGACTGAATCAGATATGATGTAGCCAAGCAAATGTGAGACATTAACGACGGAATGCGCCCCACTTCCTGTAACAGCGATGAGACAGGTGTGTGGAACGATTTGACGATGGTATGGAATCATTACCAGGGTGACTGCCGGGAAATTTTCACAGAATACCTTTTCCATTGAAATATCATCACTGAATCTTTTGAAAAATTAAACTTCTGTAGATTTCCTTTAAACCTGCAATGTTTTAGCCACTTTTAATATAAGCTCAACTTTGAGAAAACATGTTAATATGTCTGCAGATAACAATTCAACCTGTCTAAGGCTGTTGGCAGTCTGAAGACATTAATGTAGCCAGACACATTGGACCTGTACTGAATTCGCAAATGCCTTCCAGGGGCAAATATGGGGAGCATTGAGAAATCCTTTGCAGACCATTGTGTCACTTGATAGCATTTTCTAATTAAAAAAAAAGACAGTTTGGAATGAAAAATTATTTCTGTGTTTATTTCTACATGGTATAGCAATTGCGAAATATGTGCAAAACAGGAAATTAATGTTGCAACACATCGTGTACAATACAACATGTGATACAAACGTATTGGATTTAAATTATTAATTTTTAAATTCACTGAGGAATTTTCATCTTGGAATATCGATGTTTACACACCATTTTTATTTCATTTAACACGAATAAAAGGTACAGAAACAAATTCTGGACCCAGTTTTGCGATATTACAGCCAACTTTAGCAATGACAATTTAACCGAATAGCAATGGAGGAGATTATTTATTCAAATATTTTCATAAAATATTCCTGATACAAGCTCTTCCGAAAACATGATTTGATTCTTTGTGTTCCTCATTGTGACTATAATATGGCGCTCTTTGCGTGAAGTGGAATATTTGACTTTGAACAGAGGTGAAAAAAATATAAAAGTGAAAGGACATTATGTTTAACGTAACCTTTCTTTGAAACCCTTGATGCCAGAACAATTTTATACTAATTCTTCGGCAAATTTACAAAAAGTAAACATGTCTAAGTTATTCTTAGCAGCAGACAGGGACTCTGGATATTTGAGGTTTTTTTTTTCAAAACCCAAAGTGTCCAAGATGAACATAACATGGGGCTGACCTGAATGCTACCTCCGCCCGTCCAACCGCCCATTCCATGACTTGCCCTTCTCCTACACCACGCGTGCTCAACCGCATTAGTGTGACTTGCGTACAAAACTATTCGGCGTTCCATGAAATCTATTGGCCATGCTCGACATAGGCCCTCTGACAAACTCTATTTTGCTCGTTGGACACGTGGAGTGGAGCTAATTCGACCCCCTCTATGGCTGGTCCCGAGAGTGGTGATATGCGTGAACTTTGCCATGTGGTTTCTAAACGTCTCCGAATTGACAAGCTGTTTAAATAGTGACAAGTCCAATGGCCTATGCCTGCAGAGATAATGCTGTAAACGCAAGCATATAAGCATTATCAATAAATCACAAACAAATACACAGACAATAACAATATTCAGTTCAAGTAAAACACCCTCGAAAGATTAATAAACCGAGCCATCGTTTATATCATTTTCATCACAAGTGTTGTCTACTAGCACAGCAGAGACTCCGCGCCCTAATTATATTGTGAGTTCATGACAGCCAGAAACTTGAGTTATGTTTAAAAGCTATTCATGCTGAGACCGGATAAACAGAAAAAGGAAAACTTGGCTCCCTGGCTGACCCAGAACCAGAGGGCTCTGGGGGCTTGTTGGTGAAGGAACAGGGTTCCTCCCCCAAGCCTGCACGCAAACATCAAGACCCCGTCCACACGCAGAGACCGGCAAGCAGCCTACGGACGGAACCCGGCCTTCCATTTAAGTGCCTCTGCACATGGGCTTTCATGCCTGGCTGGGTCAGCCTTGCGGTGGAGGTCTTGACCCACCTCTGGGAGGAGAGGTGGAGCCCATGGAAGTCACAGTCTTGCATCGTACCGCATTGCGCTGCGGCAGTTATCCATTCTCTTGTTTACTGGCAGTGAACTTTTAATTATGTAGTCATCCATTGTCAGAAGGTACACATGCCACACCCTTACAAATTTACTGTAAGTAGCCGTGTAATCTGTGGGTCTTGGTGGTTATGTCTTTGTGTTAAGTGACAGCAAATATGCCCATGTGTTGTAACGTTCTTGTGAAGCCGTTGAAACTCAGCACATTTTGGCACATGAAAAATATATGTTACATATATATCCAGCGCTACCGAATACCATTGATTTAATTTAAAAACATCTGTTAGAGATTTAGTTTGTTTTACGGATTATGATAATACAAATATGTTGCTGAATTGTTGGTGTATCTTTACAGTTGTGTATTTGCACATTGGTACTCACAGTGTTAATCGACAATGAGTTTGTAAGAGAGTTAGCGAATGAGTGTGTGTCAAAAGCAATGATTGAGTTCAATTCCTGGTCATGGATAATATCAGTGGCGAACAGTATCTGACACTTGTCCTGGGCCTCCGTTAGGTCAATTCAGACTTAAATAAGTAGCTTGTGCAATGTACTGTATAAACACCAGCACTTGGAAGACTTAGGCAGTCAGGGGTGGTCTGGCAACACCACTCCCTCATGTACCATGTCAGCCTCAATAGGAGCTTGCTCCCAACACTTGTGCCTCATTTGATATACAGTAACAAGTGCTATGCATTATCCTTACGTTTCGCACTTGCACGTGCAGAATCAGTCGTCGTATATATGTGTGTGTGTATATGCACGTGTATGTGTGCTTACATATATATGTGTGTGTGTAAATTGGATGGGGAGCGGTAGTGCAGCGGTTAATGCGCTGCGCTATGAACCCGGTAACCCGAGTTGATTCCCGCTCACAGTTAACATCTGTGACCAATATCTCAACTTATCTTGAGCCTCTCCGAGGTTAACTAAGCCTTAAATACCTGGTGCAAAGTGTAAAACATCAGCACTAGGGAGACAAAGGCTGCCGGGCGTGATGTTGGCCACACCACCACTGCCCTCTTCGTGTGCCGTGCTGCCTTGATAGCCACTCGCGAATAGCACTTGCCCCAATAGTCTCTTAAGGACATACGATCTATGCGAATTGGACATGCTAGATTTCTGTGCAGCTTGTAATAACCAACACCTCAGAGGTATTCACACAACAGAGAATATACGTTCCCCCTCAATGTTTATTTCCCAGGAAGGAAAATTTGAGTCTCCCAGGGAGTAATATTTGAGAATATTGGTTCCCCTTTTGAACATTTCTACCCCATCACTTAGTACAGTAACATGTATGGTACAGAGTGACATTTATTTAACCCATACCCCTAATTCAGGGGTGCTAATAAGCATGGGGGAGCAAATGTTCGCTGGCGGGAAGTAACATTTGTTCCCTTGAAGGAAAAAAAATATCCCAGGGGAACAAATATTCACCAAATACTTATTAATATATTCACCAAATATCTGTTTAAATAGTCACTGAATATGTCCTGGAAGCACATGTGTATATATATTTGGGGGGGAGCAAATAATTGTATAAATATTTGTTTACATTGGGTTCAAGCAGCAACATATGCTGGACGATGCGGTGGCATAACAGCGAATGTGAGTCCATGTCTTTGACAAAAAGACTGACTGCAGAAGTCGATCTGTCCACTGATTATGCGGGCTGCACTGCTATTAAAAAGTACTGGAGTATCTCTCTTTCCTCCGTGTTCTGGGAAACGTCCTGGTAAGGATTATTCAACATCGCCTTGGCAGGCACGCTGAGGAGAAGCTTGCGGGGCCCCGATACCATTTCAAGCCGGTGCAGTGCTGCACGGATGCCATATTCTCCACCTGTCTGCTACGACAGACGCGAAGGAAATATCCACGAGACCTACATCACTGCTTTATTGGCATACATTCAACCTATATTCTTGGTTCTTTCGGTAAAGTCACGTAGAAGGAAAACAATAAAATAAAAAATATATAAAACATTCGACCTATTATAGCGGCATTGGGTTGTTCATTGTCCTGTGATAATGAAGGTACTTTATGATGGGGAGCAGGCCCCGGTAAAACTCCGTAGCCAGAAGTTCGAGCCGTTCCCTTGTTCATGTTGAGGTACGACAGGGATGCCCTCTTGCCCCGACACTACTTTTTGACCATGTAGTCGAGAAACCTCCCATGGCTGTAATTATCTCCATCTGTTTCGTATACGATGGAAGGCTGATCGATGCTCAGGTGTTGTCAATGGCTTCCTGCTGGTCATCCATGGCATTTATACTGATGATCTAGTACTGTAATTGCTGTTTATTCTGAGTTGGAGACTCTCCTGCTGAACCTGAAGCTTACCTTACCATCAACTACACCAAATTAAAACAGCACCCTGGGTACTTTATGTCATCGAACAGTTCACTCCCCCAACTCTCTATGAGTAATGGAGTGGTTATGGAGAGGATGAAAGAGTTTATGTACTTGGGCCACGTGCTCATGGCCATCTCTGGTTTGGCAGCAGACATCTCACTCCAAGGTGGTGCATCTGCTAATCAACTTAATCTGTTAACCCATAACACCTAGGCCTGTCCAATGACCTGCCATGCAGGTTTCGACGTGTCCTCAAAATAAACATAATGAGAAAAAGTGCCGTGGTGATATCACTGCCACTGAGTGATGAATGGGGTTTGTTGCTGTGTGCATGCATGAGTGGATATGTATATGTGTATACGTACGAGTGTGTATGTGCGTCTACTTGAATGTGGATATGTGTGTGCGTACGAGTGTGTATGTGTGTCTACTTTAATGTGGATATGAACATGCATGTATTTGTGTGAACTTATTTGACACCGTACGTAGCCAACCGTGCTAATCGGAGGTGTGGGGTATATATGAGTGTACGTGCCCATATGTGCATACATGCATTTCTGTGTCCGCATGTGTATGTGTGGTTGGTTGTGTGCGCATGTCTGTGTCTGTGCGTAACCGTGTGTGCATGTCCCTGCCGCGTGTGCAGTGGTGTGTCCCAAAGGCTGCCTCACATGCTCCGAGCCCAACGGCTGCATCAACTGCCTCCCGCGCTACTTCTTCTTCCTGGAGCGGCAGGGCATGCACGAGATGGGCAGCTGCCTGCCGTCCTGCCCCGCCGGCTACTTTGGGGTGCGGCGTCCCGACGGGAACGTCAGCGTCTGCCAGAGTGAGTAACAGCCGTGCCGGCACGCGACGTGACCACACGGCTCTCCCTATGACCCTCACGTTGGCTACTGATGCCGGGACCATTGCACGAAAGGCACCACGAGCCGGTAAATTTGCAGAGAATGTATCCACTTTGTACGAAGTGTGTTTTCCATTTTGCGGTCGCTTGTTTTACTGTAATGTTTAATCAAAGCAACCGTACCCTTTACCGCCCCTGAACGTGGTTGTAGGCATATGGCTATAATTAGGGCACTCCAATTGGGGAATAGCAGAACAGTCGATTTGATTGTGGTAATTAACGCTGGTGGGAACTTGGGCTCTCAGGAAGAGTTAAGCTGATCACAGAAATCACAGCAGGGGTCGGCACAATCGACAAAACTTCACGGATTAGCCACGGCACAGCCGCGGCTCCACTCTCGCTCCGTCACGCCTCATCTCGATTATTGTGATCTCTGTGCACGTGGTTGTGAGGCAGCTGTACACAACGGAGCCTGCTGCAATGAGTGCCCTTGGAATAAACAACACATTAATAAACAGAGCAAGTGTATAGCCAATGCTAAAGGCATATGTAGAGTGGCGCTGCCTGCGCTTGCAATGGATGCTAGAAAGGTCAATGGTCTGTGCACAGAGAGGGGTTTTTGAGCTATGTTTTTCAATGTAACCTCTGCTCAACTCTGCATGCTCACTCTTCTCTGATTTCCGGTGTATACTTTGCTTTATCCACATCTATTCCTCCGATGCAGCATCGCTGTCTTTAATGACATGTATATTCGTGTAAGCATATGAATTGTGCATATATTCTCAGTTTTAGCAGATAATTGTGGTCATGTAATGTGGTAGTGTGAATAAATACTTTGGCAAAAATGGAAATAAATTAAGTAAATATAGAAAAAAATAAAATGTGCTAAATGCAAGTCCAACTTCCTCACACAATATTTGTAAAATCCCCTCATAATATTAAGACAACCTTGGTGTAGTATATTAGACGTGTAAAAATACAGCAGTGATTTCCTGCTCAAATAAGCATTGTGTTGGTGCTCATCTCATAGTTACAGTCCTCAGTCAGTGGTAGAGATATATGACAAGGACAAGTCTAACCAAAGGACAACCACCGTTGTGACCTCCCCACGAAGTGGTAATAATTGTATTGACCCTGGAGGGACAATGGACTGAGTCATCATCTAAGCAGGATGGAAACTCGCAACCTTCTGGTTGCAAGCCGCTCGCTCTACCGCTGGGCCTGGCTCCATTACACCTCGTACGCCAGAACCCCAAGAACACCCTTAACGAGGCTTTCACCCGGACAGGGTGCCGCCTCGAAAACTGCGACACCTGTTTTGCAAAGAACTTCTGCACCAAGTGCCGCGCGGGCTTCTACCTGCACAAGGGCAAGTGTCACAACGCCTGCCCGCATGGCTTCAGCGCCGTCAACCAGAGCATGGAGTGCACCAGCGCTGGTGAGCCTGCCCCACTACATGCCGCGCCGATTTGGCAGATTCACCGCACGATCAGCCAAACCCAAGGAAAACCAAACACACACACACAGGGGCTCGAATACAGCACAGATAAAACTCCACCAGCACCACCGCTAGTACCACCACCACCACCACCAAAAACGTACATTTGTAACTTGGCCACAACGCAACGTCTCGGAGCACAGGAATACAGAGGAGCGAATGGGATGGAGAGGATGAGGGCAGAAGAGAGGCGAGCAGGGGGGTGGTCGGCATGAGGTTGAAGAGGAACGTTTGAGGAGAGACTTGAAAGCAGAGAGAGGGGACGAAGTGGAATTGCCTGGGGAGGGAATTCCAGAGGGTGGGGGTTTAATGGCTAAAGGAACGACCACCAATGGTGGAGCAGTAAATCCTGGGGACAAGGAGGAGGCCAGAGTGTTGAGCAGAAGGAGCAGAGGGAGTGGTGGGAGCAGAGGGAGCTGCTGGGACATGGGGCTGGAGGAGGAGCAAGGCCGTGGTTTTATCTGAATGTGAGGACATGGATCACCACCATCGATAACACGACCTCGCAGCTGACGAACATACCTCGACTGACGTGCTTGCACAAAGGCCCCTCTTTGCTGTGCATTACAATGATACAAGTTCGTGTGTACAAAATGTTTTGCTTATTTTGCCATCACTTATTTGCTGAAGGATCATGCCCATAAGGCATTACTGTTAGTGGCGAAAAGTTATTGTTCGATGTTTGTTTGAGCACTTGCCAATGCAATGCTTTATGTTTGATTTGACTTTGGATGACAGATTCGTATCGCTTATTGCCAAAATGTCCGATAGAGCAATGGTTATTCCAATTATCATTATCGGCAGCTTTTATATTTTTTATCTGCATGGGTTTTTCCTCTCACATTTATTCCGACCGGCTGCTGATTCATAGCAGAGATCTCCGATATATAATCAGTCGACCTTGTGATGAGGGATGCCCCAGTCAGCGACAAATCACAGCATGTGGCCACGTGTGTTTAGCTCTACAAGCGATGCGTGGCGCGTTGCAACCCCTTTAGCTGTGTAACTTTGCCACTGTGACTATGTACTCAAACAGCAATCGCAGCACAGCGGGAGCTCATTGATTCCAGCCTCAGAACAGTTCGCAAATGTGCAATGAATTACAGAGCAGTGTCATCACTGAAATACAACATCTGCAGTTCCTGGTTTAACCATATCAAAGGGCAAGTGGATAAAAGTGGATGACTCATATTTGTAATAATCATGGCAGGGCACGCATACCGTTCTCCAATATTGGAATTTAGCCCTTTTGAAAGCATCATTTGGCTGTGCTTTTGGAAAAACCCCAATCAGATATGTTCATGCAACACATGAAGCATCTCTTGTAAGCAGTCACGTTTTAAGGGACAACATGCTTTTTCCTTATACGTCCAAACAGTACGAACAAAGAGCAAATCCACATCAACCTGCGCTAAAGTCAACTGTAAGAATTCGTGCATTTGATAATAATCCGATGTACTCTGCAGCATCTCTATTTGGCTCATCAGAATACAGAACAACAATTTTCATGTTTTGGCATTCACAACTGCCAATTTGTCTATATGTCCAAGACTCAAAATAACAGTGCGACAGAAATGTATATACCAATACAGCTAGGTTTGCTAAACTAAATCCTCCTTTCAAAAGAGCAAATAAACCACAGAATCAATATTGCACAGTAATTGAGTTTGTTAAAAGCATGCAACTTTTTAAAACGTTTTCTTGCTCGTTGGAAGTTTATACTGATGTACAATTGTAAGCCATGTCCTTCAAATCTGTCAAATTTTCTTAAGTTTCAAACACATCTTTTACTTCTTTCCTGTGAATCATTCGGTGCATTCCTGCGGCATATGGTGGTGCTTGTGGGTTTTTTTTATTTGTGAATGGCTACATACACAACCAGTCTGAGCTTGTAAACAGACACACACACAGGAGACTACCAATAACAAAGGGCCATGTAATAGTGGGCAAAGCGAAGTAACTTTGGCTTCAACTGCAGTTACCACCCATGTCAGGCTTCTGGGCTCAGCAGAATGTGCTTTGTCACCAAAATGAAATCAGGAATATATCTCTTGGCGCAGAATGGCCGAATGCAGAAATGTGCAGTGAGAGTATGATTCCTCTCCCCTTAATCCAAGTCACTTTTGACACAGGGATTGACACTGGTCTGCAGAAGCGTTCAGTGGTCAGATTGTTTCATTTGGAGAGGATGAGAGTGCACTTGTCTACTTTACACCATGGGAACTCTATGTGCTATGAAGAAGGGTCATTGCCCCAAACGTTGCCTATGATATGTTGTCTATGATATGTTGTCTTTTCCTTATAGGGCCGTATCATTGACGAAGGTGTTGAGATTTTGATGTGTGCAAATGCACCACTGCCAACGCAGTATCACCAATACTTGAACAATAGTTCCATGTTGAATAGCATCAAATGCAGTAGAGTTATCCATGTTGTATGCCGCATGGTGTTAATAATACGTCCGATTTAGAGCACAAAATTAGTGCGAGTCACTAACCTGGCCTATTACTGCCCTCTGCAGCATATTTTGTGTCACTGCGGAGCTAAAACACGGGATTTTACAAAAAAAATCGAAAGCATAATACAAATTTTTTCAGTATAATTTAACACTTTTTACGTAAAAAGTGTTGGCTTTCATCAGTGGCTCGACACATACTCTATTGTTATGGGTTTTAAAATAGATGTCATCCATCTTTTGAAGGCATTGGTAGAAAAAATAGAATTTACTGCACTGCGTGTGTAAGAAAATGAATACGGTTTAACACGTAGGCTTTCGCGACCAATATCATCCATAACAGAGGTAACTGGGCTAGATCGCGTAAAGAAATAAATGTGTCGTTACAACCCGCCACCACCCGACGCAGCCAACTAGTAAGGGTTGTCACGTAAACAGAACATGCCAATTCGTCACTAGTACAGCACACCGGTGTGTTGGAGAGCCAAGCCACAACATTTACAATCCGAGTACGACGTTTCACCAGTAATTACAACTAGCTTCATCAGGCGACAGCCAGATTTGTGGAGAAGTCTTACTGTTTCGTTCCTTATAGAGAGGCGTAGATGTGTTGACCACCCTTCTGCGCTCTTGCACAATGTGAGGGGGGGGATTACTGAGGCAACGCACATTATGCATGCGCATTCTGCGAGCCCTTTGAACTTGTCCTTCCTGTCTATTGTGTTTATTAAAATGTCCCTACCAACGGTAATCCCTATTGAAGTACGCTGCCCTTTGTAGGCATGCATTTTAATAATGTATTATTTGATGATTCGCTTTCACGCAGCACTAAGACGGTAGCTATCCGAACGGTTAAAGTTATTTAGATTTAATAATAGGGTTTTTTCCCCTTTTTTCTGGCAACAAATCTGAAACCTTTTTACAAGGATTCATGTCTGCATTAACCACAATACCTGCAGTCAAAATGCAAACAAAAAACAACAAAAGGCGTCATCTGGTCGAGCAAAAAGGCGTCATCTGGTCGAGCACCAATTGGGTCGAGGCTCAAAAGAAAGCCGTCCCTTGGTGTGGACCAATCAGTTTCAAGGACAATGCATATATTATCATAGTATGTATTTTGTTTGCATTTTGACTGCAGGTATTGTGGTTAATGCAGACATGAATCCTTGTAAAAAGGTTTAGGATTTGTTGCCAGAAAAAAGGAGAAAAAACCCTATTATTATGTTTTGGTACTGACAAAGGAGGTCTAATGATGTAGATTATTTAGATTTCTTTCAATTTCGATAGATTCTCTAATTAGTCTTGGCCAGTAGTAGCTAGTTTTGCACAACACTTCAACATTATCAAAATCAATTGAGTGTCCTTGTTGGCACGCGTGTTCTGCTACTGCTGACAGTTGTATTTGGGAGAATTTAATATTTCTCTGTTATTTTAGTCTCGTGCTGATCATTTGCCCTGTTTGCCCAACATAACATTTACCACACGTGCAGTTAATCCTGTACACACCTTCTGTTGCTAGCTTCGGTAATGCATGTTTTGTACCAGATATTAAATTCTGTATTTTACGTACCGTGAAAAATCTGACTCGGATGTTTTGTTTTTCCAAACATCTGGCGAGTTTATAAGTTACTCCCGCAATGTACGGTATTTTGATCGTTTTAATTACTTGGGCAGTTTCAATGCTCTTGTTATTTGATTTGGTTTTGGTATTCCAAGAGACAGGAAGGACAAGTTCAAATGGCTCGCATTAATGCACATGCATAATGTGCGTTGCCTCAGTAATCAACCCCCCCTCCCCCACATTGTACAAGAGCGCAGAAGCATGGTCACCACATCTACGCCTCTATACAAGGAACGAAACAGTAAGACTTATCCACAAATCTGGCTGTCGCGTGATGAAGCTAGTTGTAATTACTGGCGAAACGTCGTACTCAGTTTGTAAATTTTGTGGCTTGGCTCTCCAACATACCGGTGTGATGTACTAGTGACGAATTGGCATGTTCTGTTTACGTAACAACCCTTACTAGTTGACTGTGTCGGGTGGTGGCGGGTTGTAACGACACATTTATATTTATGCGATCTAACCCAAAAACCTCTGTTATGGAAAATAAATACGTTATTAATAATAGGATAGAATAACTCAATTGCAGTTTGGCCACCACCATGGGAATGTGAAATTCCGAGTATTGACTCTGGGCCACCAGAGGGGAGATGAGCAGCACCCGACGCTGGCTTGGGCAGAGAGATGCTCTGTGACTCGGACAAGGGTGGAGCACACAGACGGGCTCTGGGAATGTGCTCCACAGAGCGAGTCACACACCTGGGTTTGGTGGTAAGTGGCAGTGGGAAGATCAGCGCACCCGAATGCACCCGAATGCATCCGTGGCTGTACAACGAGGGTCTCGTGTCACAGCCGACCTGGTGGTTTAGCAGTCGAGCAAGCGGCTCGCAATCGAAAGGTTGCGAGTTCACTTCCCAGAAGTGGGCTGATAAAAAGACAAACCCTTTGTGAGGAGAATCTAACAGTGGTTGTCTTGTGAGTAGACTCACCCCCGCCATAAGAATGTTGAATTTCCACCATTGGCTAAGGGCTGCGAAGAGAAGATGACCAGCACCTGAATGCTCACATAAGCTCAAAATCACCTTGACTCCAAGTGTCACAGCAGAGATGTGTAAATAGTTCCGCACGTCAACACAGGGAACTAAACGAGCGTGCCCTGTCGCCCGGCAGAGGAGTCTCATCAGCGGCACCCCACCCCGGCGCTGGCGGCGTGCGAGCTGGGGCCGTGGGGCGACTGGGGTCCGTGCCTGAAGAACGGCCGTCCGTGCGGCGCTAAGTGGGGCCAGGAGGCGCGCACTCGCTCCGTGTCCATCCCCGCGCAGCGCGCCGCTGCGCCTGGCACGGGCGGAGGGGACGCCTGCCAGGACAGCCGAGAGACGCGGCGCTGCCGGCTGAGGAAGCGGCACTGTCCCGACGGTACGATCACACGTCGCCTCGCCCTCCTCCACGGGGTGGACGTGGGGGAGGGGCCTCCTCCACCTCCGCAACTCATTGCTCACGGGCACGGACCAAACGCTTCACTTGTTGGTTGCCACCCGAGAAGGCAATATTTTAGCGGTGCCAAGGTTGTTAAGTTTAAATGCCAATCAAAGTGAATTGTGTAATAGTCGTATGTAATAGGTATGCCATCAAATAATCCACCGTTATTCACCATGAATGGAAACCAATGTTACGCAAAATGTTCTACCACCCGTGGGACCGAATTCTGCGCTCTGGCCCTTGAAATGCCATCAACCGATCCTCTCTCCCTCCCCACTGCTGCCCCTGCCGTCTGGAACTTCCTCCGACTGGTAGTCCATACTTGTTCTCCTTCTTCTCTGTCCAGGATCAAGATTAAGATCCCCATTCTTCTGCCAGTGCCTGGTTTTTCCCTCCATCCTTTCTCTTCACTGTCACCTAATCTGCATATATCTATACTGCTCTTGCCCTCACTGCTCCAGAGTTTGACTTCTCTCCCAAATTGTTTTATTTCAGCTATAAAATAACCCCTCTCACGATGCACATGCCCCTCTCTCTGTACCGCGTCTCGGACTACGATCGCATTTCGTCGCGATATCTTTATGGAACCAATTTGTAAGCGGTAAACAGAGCTGCAGGCGGTGAGGACCGGTGGGGGCGTGGAGGAGGCTCATTGAGGAACCGAAATACAGACGCAGAGCATGCAACTACCTGGCACGCAGCACTCACGTGTGTGACATTCACACAACGCAGCCTTGTGTGGAATCAATATTCACCAGCGTCGCTGTGTTGTACGAGTGTTGCAGGGTGAATGAGTGTGAATGAAAGCAGTGACCCGAAAATGTAAAAAAATTGACAAGAGCATAGAAACACAAGAGAAGCATTCAGACAGAAATTGAGAAAATTTAGATTTTTGGTTAATATTTAAATATAGAGAAAACTGTACACACAGGAATAGAATGACTTTTAGACCGTAAGTGCAGCGAAAGAGAAAATAAACCATCTTTCACACAGAGATTCATGGGAGGTGGAGAACGCAATGGGAGAGATTATGGGGCTAAAGTGAACGGGAGGCCAACGGAGGGCTTGGAGAGGGGTTGATTCATCGCAATGATGCAATGTGGCCTCCTTTTACGAGTTTAGGTGAGGAGCTCTGCATTAACCATGCCTATCATGCGACATTATTTGCACTGAAGACAGTCTTTCGTCAATGAAACTGAATGGAATGTGGAATTTCCACCAAAGGCTTGTCATCTCCAACAGACACGAGTGACTCAGTCGTTTGAGAAGGGAAGACATTTCACGTTATGCATTTACAAATTACGCCTGAAAAATTAAGCTTAACACCTGACCGGGAGCAACTGTGGTACAGAGAAGACTCGACTCACGCTCGCACTTGCGCAAGTTGGTCTCAACGAGGGCGCTCCGGCGAGCCGATGGCCGACCGCCGTCAGCAGCAGCAGACGGCGCGCGTGGGCCCGTGGAAAGCGCACCAGCGACGGACCCCGCAGTTCCAGCGCCGGCTGGAATGCGGTGCCGCTGCGTGCGCACGTCCGCCCCGATCCATCAGGCGGCCGCGCGGGGATTAGCGCCGCCGCCGCCATTGTCGTGCCAGATCCGCCGCTGTTATTCCACACGGATGCAGCGCGGCCTCCACCTCACCCCCTCCCCCCAGTTCAAACAACAACTGGGACGACGCCGCCGCCGCTCTAAAACAACCCGTGCCGCAACGAGTCGCCGGATTGTAACGAGCCTGGGCGAAGACGTGAATCGACACCATTCTGCCCGCGCTGGCAAGGAATAACAGTTGGCATTTAAAGGGATGTGTCGTGTGCCAACGCCACCCCCAGCATGCTAATTGCTGCTAATTTGGGGCTTGGATGGCTATACGCTCTGTAAATGATAGTTCAGATACAGACTGTTAATTATAAAATTAGTGTGATATCAATCAGCTGTTTTGGAAATTAAGAAATTTCAAGCCAATTTAAATATGGATTTTTCAAACAAAAAATAATCTTCTCGAATGAGTAATGCGTGACTATCTCCCATTCGTCCTCAGCTAGAGATGGAAATTCCAAATATTTCTGGCAGAGACCAGTCTTCATACAATGACCAGTATTGACTTCCCAGAAAGTGGTACTAATTTTACACACCCCGAATGGATGACATAATAAGTTTCCTCTCGCTGAGATTTGCTTTTGTTGCCTTTCTGTTCAGTGTCACATTCTCTAAAGCACTGTGCCACCCAGTACACACTCCAGCTTTAGCGGTGATTCCAGGACCCACTGAATGTAATGCAAATTGAATCCATGAAAGTGTAAAAAATACTTATTGGTGATAGGTGAAGAGATGCTCTATTTAAGTTCGATACGATGCCAACATGTTGCAGAATGGATGTTGTAGTAATTCGCCTGGATGTCTTGTTGAACTTTGCATATACTTGGCAATGCACGGAACAGTCCGTACTGGAAAATCCTGCTAAGCATATTTTTTACGTGTCCACTCCATTCTCTAACAGCCTGAATGCACAAACTAAACAACACATTTCCAAAGCCATCGATTTTCGCATCTGGAAACTTTCCATGCGGATTACTCAGAAGCTGCCCCTATGACAATCAAGCACTGTGCCACGACCTGCAGATATTAGACTTCAAAAAGCAACCATTTGCAGAGCAATCATAACACTGCAGGATATGACATTAAAATGTTGTATTATTAAATAATATCACGTTGCGTTACGCATACGGTTAATGGATTGGCCAAGTCAGCTCAGCTGAAAGGGCAGTGAGCTTGTAATTGCAAGGTCGTGAGTTAAAATCCCAGTCTGGATTTTATGTCAATAAAATAAACAATTCCTGCGAGCGTCACTTGATGGGAAGTAAACATTTCCACATGGCGCTCGTCAAGTGGTACTCATTTTTATCAACCTTGGAGAAATGAGTGGAGTCAGCCTCCAACTAGGATTTTAACTCGCAACCTTCCGATCGCGAGCCGCCCGCTCTACCGCCAAGTCACCTGGCCCAGTACACAGCACGTGTGCACACACTGTCAACCTACACAGCACGTGTGCACACACTGTCAACCTACACAGCACGTGTGCACACACTGTCAACCTACACAACACGTGTGCACACACTGTCAACCTACACAGCACGTGTGCACACACTGTCAACCTACACAGCACGTGTGCACACTGTCAACCTGCACAACTTATTCTCGAGCAGGCGGCACGTGTAAACACGTTGCTCGGTCGTTTAGGTTCGTGCCTGGTCGAGCAAGAATGCCATCTGCTCCCAGGCTGCTTCCATCTCCCATACTTAGCAGCACCTGTCAACAACTTAATTACATGCATGATACTGAGGGGTAAAGCCCTTTTTACACGCAAACAAAAACAATGTTCAATTATTTTGTAATATTTGTCCAAAATAGTTTTGTTAACTTTTGATATGGCTTATGAATGCATTTTGTTGAACCTGGAATTTGTTGAACCAGCGGATTAACGTGTTTAACTTCCTTTATTGCAGAAAAAAGAAAAAAAGAACCGGGACATCGGGATGCCAAAAATAAACCAATTAAAAAAAATCGGAAGAAGGACAGAGCAAAGCAGCCGCAGCGAGAAGTGCAGCCTACGGGCGCGAGCGGGCAGTGAGGGGGGCGAGTGGGGCCGCAGGGACAGGCACGGACACACGATGAATGCGTCACTGCTGCTGAAATTGTTATTTAAGCCACTGTATAATTTGCATTGGGAATGCCACTGGGATGGAGAGCGAGAGCACAAAGGGAGCTTTTATTAAACCCGTTTATTTTATTACAATAACATCGCTTCTGATTGCACAGACTCGAGACTAAATGCAGTGGAATGAGCACGAAGAAAAAACCGAGGTGTTCCGAGAAGACACAGGAGGCCAGTGTGCCATGGGTAAATGGCAGACAGAGGTCACGTACCTGATCTGTCGGCACCTCGCAATAACCGTGAGCGGCTTCTGCGATGACTGAACACGACCGTCTTAGCAGATCCATGCACTCTGCAAATGTGAAATGGAACAAGTGGGGTCTACTTCTGTGGGACGCTGCCAATTTCATTAATCACTTGCGTGCCCGGTGTCTGTTTGATGCCGCACGCTTGGCCGTGCTTTGTTTTTGTTCGGGACAGCACTTTGACTTCACTGTTATTTGTTCAAGCGCAGCAGTCGGTGGAGAGAGCGAACAAGGGAACGAGCTGTCGCAGAAGTCCACTTCCGTGACGCCGTGTGGGACAATGACTACCATTGCCAAATTGCTCGCAAATAAGGATTGTCATAATTCCCTTCCGGAATGCCACAATGTGTATCTTAATTAAATATTGTGAACTCAATAACCCGAGCAACACATTTTGATGACAGACGTCCGACAGGAATCTGGATCCGCTTGATGGACCACAGAGAATGCATTCCTTGGGAAACGTTATCAAGAGATCACAGGCGGAGTGCGCACGTTCCCGGATCAGACGTGCAGACAGACGCACGGCACCTGCTGCTCCCAGACTCGCAGCGCAGCGAGGAGGGGTGAGCTAGAGCCAGCCAGCAGAGTTCAAATAAACCCTGCGGGCGCGTTGATTTTTTCAAGAGAATAAACAATGTTATTATGTAAAGTATAAAATATGTACACTGCTAATTATTATTATCACAATGCAGATTTATTTTGAAGAACAGTTTGTTTTTAGACGAGTTGTATATACATACAGTACACCGCGCAGGTACGTACAGCTGCAGATACCACATAACTAATGACGTTAATGTTTGGTCCCACGGATTAAAACAAATGTATTTTACAGGAAAAACCAAATGTGCGGGTTTTGGATTAACCACCAAATTAAGCTGCAACTCGTGGATTGGAACTCCAATTAACATATCTACCCTTGACACCTTAGCAAACAGGATATTCCGTCTCAAGGGATTTTTCAGTTTAATTATTTAGTAAAATGTTTTAATTGTTCCATTACCTGCCACATTTCTAGACGTTTCACACCTTGACCCCAGTAATTCAGCATGAATCGGCCCAACATGTTTTGGCAAAGGAACTGTTCACCAATATTCATGGGAAAACATTCAAATTATTGCAAATTTCCATAGTTTTGGATGTTTTTCTGCCAAAAATTGGTAAAAATTGGCTTCTTCCAAAACGTGAACATGGCTCAACGTTTTTTTAAACTTCAGTCTTTGTACCTTCCCCAAATTGCAAATTCTTGCTAACAATTTTACCCAATTAAAAAGTAAAATTAAGAAGTAATTGCAAAGAACCCCTTGATTGTTCAACGTGTAAAGATTATGGAGACACAAAATTAAGCCCTAATAAATTGTAATGTCCCATTTTATTTACAAATAACATTGCAACTGATATATAAACTGTTGAGGATGACAAATGTAATTTATATAATACATTTATTATTTGCCTATCCGTATTACCAACTTCAAATCTGCTTTTTAATAGTTTAAAATAATTGCCAATGTGCCTTACTTTTACACCTGGCGCACATTATAACATTGCAAATATTATATGCACCATGTAAACACAATACTGAGCAAACCTTTGCCTGTGCTCGCAGCAGGTATACACTGGGCTACTTTTTAAACAATTCTAGTTAAATATACGATGGGAATTTACAGGCAAGTATTACCTGACCCAAGGTTCATCATCACATTTTTGTAAACAGCTCTTGTAAAACAAAAGTGCAATAAAGTAACCAAAGTACAGTTTGAACCAAAATGAATGTGTGATTTTTACATCGGCAAGTTCAGTTTTACATGTCTTTGTATGGTTTCGTTTTAAACACCCATTGTACAGGGGTGAATGCCATTAAAAAAACACGTTATGCATAATGCCAATAAGTGTGTGCAAAGCCAATAACCAAACAGGGCATTGCCACTTGGCCATCTTTCAAAAAGGAGACGAATATCGGCTGCGGCCAGACCCACCTCACCACACACCAAGGTCGTGACCTCTGCACACTACCGCCACGTGAACACCTGATGCCGGATTCTGCCAGAGGCAGACGGGGCACAAAGGGGAGTGAGTGCGAGCAGCTGCTCTTTCCCAGCTACAGTGAGGGAAAAAAGTATTTGATCCCCTGCCGATTTTGTATGTTTGCCCACTGACAAAGAAATGATCAGTCTATAATTTTAATGGTAGGTTTATTTGAACAGTGAGACAAAATAACAACACAATCCAGAAAAACGCATGTCAAAAATGTTATAAATTGATTTGCATATTAATGAGGGAAATAAGTATTTGACCCCCTCTCAATCAGAAAGATTTCTGGCTCCCAGGTGTCTTTTATACAGGTAACGAGCTGAGATTAGGAGCACACTCTTAAAGTGAGTGCTCATAATCTCAGCGTGTTACCTGTATAAAAGACACCTGTCCACAGAAGCAATCAATCAATCAGATTCCAAACTCTCCACCATGGCCAAGACCAAAGAGCTCTCCAAGGATGTCAGGGACAAGATTGTAGACCTACACAAGGCTGGGCTACAAGACCTACACAAGGCTGGGCTACAAGACCATTGCCAAGCAGCTTGGTGAGAAGGTGACAACAGTTGGTGCGATTATTCGCAAATGGAAGAAACACAAAAGAACTGTCAATCTCACTCGGCCTGGGGCTCCATGCAAGATCTCACCTCGTGGAGTTGCAATGATCATGAGAACGGTGAGGAATCAGCCCAGAACTACACGGGAGGATCTTGTCAATGATCTCAAGGCAGCTAAAACCATAGTCACCAAGAAAACAATTGGTAACACACTACGCCGTGAAGGACTGAAATCCTGCAGCGCCCGCAAGGTCCCCCTGCTCAAGAAAGCACATATACATGCCCGTCTGAAGTTTGCCAATGAACATCTGAATGATACAGAGGACAACTGGGTGAAAGTCTTGTGGTCAGATGAGACCAAAATGGAGCTCTTTGGCATCAATTCAACTCGCCGTGTTTGGAGGAGGAATGCTGCCTATGACCCCAAGAACACCATCCCCACCGTCAAACATGGAGGTGGAAACATTATGCTTTGGGGGTGTTTTTCTGCTAAGGGGACAGGACAACTTCACCGCATCAAAGGGACGATGGACGGGGCCATGTACCGTCAAATCTTGGGTGAGAACCTCCTTCCCTCAGCCAGGGCATTGAAAATGGGTCATGGATGGGTATTCCAGCATGACAATGACCCAAAACACACGGCCAAGGCAACAAAGGAGTGGCTCAAGAAGAAGCACATTAAGGTCCTGGAGTGGCCTAGCCAGTCTCCAGACCTCAATCCCATAGAAAATCTGTGGAGGGAGCTGAAGGTTCGAGTTGGAAAAGATCTGCAAAGAGGAGTGGGACAAAATCCCTCCTGAGATGTGTGCAAACCTGGTGGCCAACTACAAGAAACGTCTGACCTCTGTGATTGCCAAAAAGGGTTTTGCCACCAAGTACTAAGTCATGTTTTCCAAAGGGGTCAAATACTTATTTCCCTCTTTTATACAGGTAACAAGCTGAGATTAGCACTCCCTTTAAGAGTGTGCTCCTAAACTCAGCTCGTTACCTGTATAAAAGACACCTGGGAGCCAGAAATCTTTCTGATTGAGAGGGGGTCAAATACTTATTTCCCTCATTAAAATGCAAATCCATTTATAACATTTTTGACATGCGTTTTTTATGGATTTTATTGTTATTCTATCTCTCACTGTTCAAATAAACCTACCATTAAAATGATAGACTGATCATTTCTTTGTCAGTGGGCAAACGTATAAAATCTGCAGGGGATCAAATACTTGTTTCCCTCACTGTAAAAGGTGCAGCCAACAAAACTAAATGTTGCTTTGTAATTACTAGGAATTTTTTTTTTTTATCGCAGACTGACTACATTGAGCTATTTTTTATGATAAAGAATTGAGTCGCAACTACTTGACTTTCAGGTGGGCTGCCGGAGGACCCTCTAGTGCCGTCACAGCCACACTGACCTCTTTCATTTCGCGCCTATGATTAGCACGGCTGGATACGTATGGTGCCAAATAAGTTCAACATACATAAATACTTCTCGAGGTGGCAGGTCTGCAATCATCCTGGTTAGGCTGCTTTCGAATTAATATTCGGTAATGATTTATTAATGCAGTCTGGATTGATAGAGCATCTCAATGTGACCACACCTTATGAACAACCATCATAATCTCTAGCATATGTATTCAACAGGTACTTTGAGATTATGCAAATATATGTGCATATCTTATGTCCATGTCCGTGGCTAATGAATGCTTTGTTGGAAATGCAGTTTAAACGAGCAACCGCCGAGCCAGACTGCCGTCGCGGGCAAACCGCTGTAAGCCCTCTTCGACATTGCCACAGCCAATTACAGGGTCGATGTAAATCCAGACAACACACACTAAGCTGCCTTTTGTGAAAGAGGAATTTGAACAAAGAGCTGCCCCCTTCACCAGGACAAAAGCTCCCAAAACACTAGTACCTCTTAAGCTGTCTGATGTCAAAGGAAATCAATCTTGGGAAAAGCAAGATTAAGTGCAGCATAGATTATAGAATTAATCCACTGCCTGCGGATTATGAATACGGATCTGCATATCAATAACTCTTCACTGGCAAAACTAGGCTTACAACTTTACCACTGCCTCCACCTAAGTCTGCACTAAATTTTGTGGTTCTTTCAAAGACGTAAACAATGTTTGCGATGACTAAAGCCAGTAATCCTGCTTATTGGCAGGTAATGTATGGTAAAAAAAAGACATGTTCACACTTGCTGCTTC